TCTGTTACAGGAAGTGGGCCTCTTTAGAAATAAGGAAAGGGGCAGCAAAGGAAGAAAGTCATAGGGTTCAAGGGAGCACTGACAGAGAGAGGACCTGAATACATTACGTCTGGCTGCACACACCCCAGCGTTGATGCAAATCAGTTTGTCTTCACTCACAGAACATCTAGGATTGTTAGAACACACTCAGAAGTTCTCTCTCTGTGGAGGTTCAAACAGTTCTCTCTACAACTTTCACAACAGTTCCTATAACTAGTCTTTGTGGAAGACCTCTTCCCAAAGGTTAGTCAGAGGCACTGAGGAACAGAGACGAAGGGGGAGGGCTTGACTTCAGCAGAAATGTTGTGTTAGAGCTTTAGTCTGAGTAATGACTTTCACATGTGGCTCCAGCTTCTCTACTTTTTTATGTTCTCCTTCTCTCATTGCTTTCCTCCCTGTTGTACCCTGCCTCCATACCGTCTGGTTCTCCTCACTCAGCCTCTCTGCTCCTCCAATTCTTCTCAGTCACAAGTCCTCATGGTGATGACAGATTAGAGACTTTTCTCTTTTTCTCTTGTTATCTCATTTATCAGTTATAATGTTGTGATTGTGAGTCACACTGAGGAACACAGATGTTTTATATGAACTTAGTATGCCGCAGTATGAGGACCAAAATTAAGACTATTGCGCAACCAGTGGTTGCTATATTCTTGTAGCAGGAGGCTAAGTCTGTTCCCAACCAGCTATTGATCTGATTAATAATAGGCTGGCACTGCTAACTGAGCAGCTGGAGAGGCTAGTGACTAGCAGGAATAAGCTGGTGTTAGCATTGGAGAAGCTAGTGACTAGCATGGAAAAGCTGGTGTGGATAAGCTGGTGTTAGCATTGGGGAGGCTAGCAACTAGCACTGATTAGCTGGAGTTAGCATTGGAGAAGCTAGTGACTAGCATGGATAAGCTGGTATTAGCATTGAGAGGCTAGCATCTAGCATGGATAAGCTAGTGTTAGCATTGAAGAGGATAGTGACTATTATGGACAAGCTGGTGTGAGCTTTAGAGAGGCTAGCAACTAGCATGGGTAAGCTAGTATTAGCATTGGAAAGGCTAGCGACTAGCATGGATAAGCTGGTGCTAGCATTGGAGATGCTAGCGACTAGCATGGATAAGCTGGTGTTAGCATTGGAGAGGCAAGCGACTAGTATGGATAAGCTGGCATTAGCATTGGAGAGGCTAGCAACTAGCACTGATTAGCTGGAGTTAGCATTGGAGAAGCTAGTGACTAGCATGGATAAGCTGGCATTAGCATTGAGAAGCTAGCAACTAGCATGGATAAGCTGGTGTTAGCATTGGAGAGGCTAGTGACTAGCATGGATAAGCTGGTGTTAGCATTGGAGAGGCTAGCGACTAGCGTGGATAAGCTGATGCTAGCATTGGAGAGGCTATCAACTAGCACTGATAAGCTGGAGTTAGCATTGGAGAGGCAAGCAACTAGCATGGATAAGCTGGTGTTAGCATTGGAGAGGCTAGCTACTAGCATGGATAAGCTGGTGTTAGCATTGGAGGGGCTAACGACTGGCATGGATAAATTTGTTGTTAGCATTGGAGAGGCTAGCAACTAGTATGGATAAGATGGTGTTAGCATTCGAGAGGCTAGCGACTAGCATGAATACGCTGGCGTTAGCATTGGAGAGGCAAGCGACTTGTATGGATAAGCAGCTTTAGCATTGAAGAGGCTAGCGACTAGTATGGACAAGCTGGTGTTAGCATTGGAGGGGCTAGCGACTAGCATGGATAAGCTGGTGTTAGCTTTGGAGAGGCTAGTGACTAGCATTTAAAAGCTGGCATTAGCATTGGAGAGGCTAGCAACTAGCATGGATAAGCTAGTGTTAGCATTGAAGAGGCTAGCGACTAGTATGGATAAGCTGGTGTTAGCATTGGAGAGGCAAGTGACTTGTATGGATAAGCAGCTTTAGCATTGGAGAGGCTAGCCACTGACATGGATAAGCTGGTGTGAGTTTAGAGAGGCTAGCAACTTGCATTGCATAGATAAGCTAGTGTTAGCATTGGAGAGGCTAGTGACTAGCATKGATAGGCATTATTAGCATTGGAGAGGCTAGCAAGTAGCACAGATAAGTTAGCATTAGTATCGGAGAGGCTAGCGACTAGCATGAATAAGCTGGCATTAGCATCGGAGAGGCTAGTGACAAGCATGGAAAAGCTGGTGTTAGCAACAGAGAAGCTAGTGACTAGCATTTAAAAGCTGGCATTAGCATTGGAGAGGTTAACAACTAGCATGGATAAGCTAGTGTTAGCATTGAAGAGGCTAGCGACTAGCATGGATAAGCTGACGTTAGCATTGGAGAGGCTAGCCACTAACATGGATAAGCTGGTGTGAGCTTTAAAGAGGCTAGCAACTTGCAGTGCATAGATAAGCTAGTGTTAGCATTGAAGAGGCTAGCGACTAGCATAGATAAGTTAGCATTAGTATCGGAGAGGCTAGCGACTAGCATGACCATTAAACAAGGGCAATTGCAGCTGCTAATTCAGGTGGTATAAAGTTGTCTGCTTAACAGTAATATGTTTTATGTTTAATATTTATGTTGACATCATGTTAAACAGTAAATTCTGTCAAAGGAACACGTCAGTGCATTTTGTTTAAAAAGTTTGTATCTAATAAAGTATGTGAGAATTCTAGACATGCTAGTTTCTAGCCTCTCCAAAGCTAATTCCAGCTTATCCGTGCTAATCACTAGCCTCTCTAATGCTAACACCAGCTTATCCATGCTAGTCTCTAGCCTCTCTAATGCTAACACCAGCTTATCCATGCTAGTCTCTAGCCTCTCTAATGCTAACACCAGCTT